AACTTTTAAACTATAGTAGGTTTAACATGAATTGTAAAGCCATTTACTTTGCACCTGTTTCTTCATAACTTATTTCCAAAGGTAGTTGTATTTAAATGAAGGCTTTGCTTCATGACAGCTCATCTAGTTTTCTTTGTTGTAAAAAGTAAAACTAACCTTTGAGAACAGTTCATCCCCCGAAGTTAGCAATGAGCACAAGACTTTGTCACTTCAGGATAAAAATGAGGAAAAAAGAAGTTGGTTGGGAGGTGGAAAGTCCTTATTAGCAATAATAGCACAGGCAGCTTGGGAGAATACTTGTATCAGGGTTGCTCCAATGTGGAAGTCTCCCCCTTTAAATGCTTTGTTTTTTTTTAATACTGGCTTACAAGTTTGATAATCTTTCTATAGACTGGTGGATTTACTTTTTTAATATCCCTTGAAGCAGATGCTGTTCTTCAGCTCAGCCCAAGGAGACCTCTTATCCATATGTTGGGGTTGGTCCCAGAAAGGACAAAAACCACAGTGGGAACAGTCAATGTTCCAAAGTCCTTACTCTCTACCAAAAAAATCTTTTATCCACCAACAAACCACCTTGCCTTAACGTTTATTTTAAAATGAAAATAAAGTTGAAAGCTTTTGTTTTAAATGCACAAATACCTCTTCCCTTTCTAAATCCACTTTCTTGGAAAACTCCTCTAAACTTTCTAACCAAACCCAGCATTGTGATTTAAAAGCAATTTCCTTCAACACAGACTGGCTTCACCAGGAGTTTTCTGCATTGCAGAATTATGAGAGAGGGTTTTTTCCAGAGGGGGTGAAGGGAAGGTAAAGATATCATTGGTTTCAAAGAAGGAAAATATTTTACTGTATCTGCAGCTCCTTTATGAGACAATTTGCACTTTTGAAAACTGCTTTTTTAACACTAATACTTTAACCCTTTCCAAATATGCATGGAACATGGTTTGTCCAGCACACTTAGCTAGTGTGGATGAATTCCGCTCTGTTGATCAGATTTTCTATTTTATCATGTTGAACTGTTGATGAAAGATGTGCATTGATCAGTGGATCCCACCTTTGAACAGTGAATAAAACTTCACTGAAGCAGGCTTAATCCCTCATAGAGCTTTTGAAAAATAACAGAAAGATTGTCTTTGGATGGGAAGATAAAGATGTTGGTGACTTTGGTTATTGACCCTTCTGATATTTTCTAGAATAAGTAGTTGAGATGCAAATAACTGATGCTAGCTTTTCTCATACTGGCAATCTAAGAAAAGAGCTAGTGAGCTTGGTTTACTGTTAAGTTAAACCAAAAACTGGTCCAAGGTAAGTGTCATTAGAAGAGTATAGATATAAACTAGCAATGTCAGGGGAAGGAGTGTTTGCTGTATTTTTAATTTTAAGGGTTAACTTTGCACCAGTGTGCCTTCCCTTCCTGTCGGGGGTGCTTGGGACCTCAAGTTCAAGTGACATCCTTCCATGTCACTGTTTTTTTCTCCCCCTTACAAACACTTAACAGAAATAACAGGGTAGTAGGATTCAGCTTTTCTTTCTCCCTGTTTAGGTTGTGGTGAAATCTGCTCTGTTTTCCAGTAGATTTTGCACACAGACTTGGTTCTGAATAAGTTAAAATACAATCCATCCAGTTATGATTTCTTAATTGGAGGAAAAGAACTTCTGCTGTTTGCATTGTTACTACCAAAAAGGCAATCCAGCAAAATGTCCAGGAAAAGGCAGGTGTGCTCTTTCCTCCACTGTTTCTGGAAGCTAAGGTGGATATTGCTCTGCTTGACCAGAGGGTTTGTTCAGGAAGGTATCTGGGTTTGATGACAGGGCCTTTTCATGGTACTGTTGGAGTAAAATTAGGTGTGATTCCAGACAAACTGGCTTATAATGCCCATTGGTCTCCGTGTGTGAACAGGATCCAAGCAGTCCCTGTGCACAGAACACGGTGCCACAGAACAAGGTTGGAACAGTTCAATGGAAATGAAAATAGGATTTTGATGTACATGGGTGCATGGGCAGGGCTGGGCTCTGCCCTGGTGCCCTGTAATGTGTCACTGGCTGTGTCTGCACTCTGGCTTTCCATTTGCTGCAGCTTCAGAGCAATAAAACCAATCTCCCCTGAACTGAACCCAGCCGGCCGCCCATGGCTTTATTTATAAACTGCGGTTTTGGTTGGGCAGGCAAGGTGAGAGTGTCACTGTGCAACATCCACTGCCTTCCAAAAACCACGATCCAATTGAAAAGGGTGCTCAAAATTTTGTTATACACATTTCCTTTGTGTAAATAAATGTTTACAATTTTATATTAAAGATTTGAATAAGAGTTAGATCTTCTGACTGTATATTTTTTACTTTTTATAGATTTTAAAACTATAATTCTTTATATATGTGTTTGGGGGGTATTATGGTAAGTTTTATGCTTGTAAATGGAGAACAGTTGAATTTGATGCTAACCTTTATGAATTTTTGTCATTGAAATGTATAAAGAGTCCATTAATCCCCTTATTCTTTTACTACAATTACTGGTGCACACCAAAAAGAAATCCTTCACTTCTGTTTTATCATTATAAAATAAATATTTTGCTAGTGTATTAAATATACATGGTGTGACTTTATACATTTGCATGAGCCTAGCAGAGTTCAGCATTGTCATTCCTAGTGAGCTGGTTTCTTCCCTTCATCCCAACATACAGTTTTTGCTCAGCCTATTTATTACCAAGGCTAAAATTCTGCTGCTGTGTCTTAACAGTTCTTATGGCTTCAGAAAGTCCATTTAAACAGGCCAGAACTGGATAAAGGGGCCTTAGAAAATGTAACTTTGAAAATCAGGCTTTATGCTACTCCCACTGCTTCCGGGCTTTGGTGGTTTTTTTTCTGGAATGCATTGTAGGCCTTAAGCTGGGAAATTCAGCTGCAGAGATGGTTGTTAATAGTGAAAAAGATGCTAATAACAACCTCACATGTGCAAAATTGTAGAGTTCCAAAATATGTCAGTTCCCTCAGAATAACAGCCTTTAGAGGTTCAAACTGATTTCCTCAAGACTTGTCTGAGGCAGGCACATGGCACACACAGGAATCCAGCTGAGATGTGGGACTCGTGCTGCAAGCAGGAACTGATGTTTCTGAACCAGGAACAAAGCTCTGGCAGCAGGGTGTGGTGTGTGGAGGTCTTGGTTTAAGGCTGCTGAAGTCCCATAGCCCTGCCCAGCCTCAGGCATTGATGGGTCATTCTGCAAGCTTTGGTGTCATTGTGCAGTTGTGTTTGCAGCCCCTGGCTTACCAGAGTGTATTTTTCATGTATTCCTAGTCTACAAGTTTTGTGTTCTGTTTGGGAGAGGAGGAAACCTGTAACTACAGAAGTTTGTAAAGAGCCAAATGTAACAACCAGCAGCAGTACCAGAATCAGCTGCTTTCAGCCCATGGGGAACCATGAGGTTACGTTAATTTTTGCTTTATTGTCTCATTAAAAATGCTGCTTTTTGGTTATTGTTCAGTGAAACAGAAATTTCCCAAGCCATCCCCCACTGAAATGACATATGTGGTTTTCAAAAGATTTTAAGGAGTCAGTGGCAGCTTGTCACAAACATTTACTCAGAAACTGATTTTTATTTTCTTGATGCCGGTATTTTTCCTGAGAGTAATGGAAATCTGTAATGAAAGTTTTCTCAAGCCTGCATTGTTTGCTGAAATATGTTGTAAGGAGACCCTGGTGGCATTTCCCCTCTGACTTTTACATTGGACACCACAGATGAAATCTTTGGTCACCAATAGGTTCAGTTAAGGTAAACTTTTAGGTTTTAGTTCTATTTAGTCTGAGTCTGCTGTACCGTGGAGGGTCTCAAGTCACATCATATGAGTCTTTTTTAGAGAGAGGGAGTGGTTTTGCTGTTCTACATGGGTGGTTATATATAAAAAGTGTAACATTGGATATTTGATTGATAAACTGAATTTTCAACTTGATGAGCTGTCACAGTGGGGTTTTGAAGCAATGAAGAGCCAAACTAGAAAAAAATGTTGCTGTGTTGCTCTTGGGAGAAACTGCAGGTCTGGTACATGCACAAATTCTGTAGTGAGGGTTTGTGTGTGTGACTCAACAGAGAGAAATGCAATGGCTCAACCACCAACATCAAGGGAAAACCTTCCTCCTCTTTGATTTAAAAATTTTAAAGTCAGAGCAGTCATCCATATAAAGTTGCTCAAGAACATAAGGTAGCTTTTCGAACTGATGCCAATTTTACATTTGTGAAGTGGGGAGAAAAGTCATTTAGGGCTAAAACATTGCTGGTTTTCAGATTTTACATTTTACAATTATGACTCTGATATCAGTGTAACATTTCTCAGGGTCTACATTTCTACATCTTCTGCTGCCTTCAGAACTGAGAACTTTTATTTTGAATGTTACCCAGGGAAAGGTTTGTATTGCTTAAAAACTTCAGAAAACTAGTAAGGGTGAGTGAGTGCTAGAAAAGAACTGTACTCCTTTTTGGTAAACTGAAGAGTAGTAATTAGTACGATAAAGTATCTGAATGTTCTGTTAAATCACAGAATCTGGCAACAGAATTAAGTTATTCCAGCTGGAGTGTATCAAATCCTTCCTCTGGTCAACTCCACTACTTGAAATAAGAGCAGAAGGTCAAGTCATTAATTTGTAAATGCTTGTTAATAATTTTTACAACCTTGCACATAATTGAGATGCTTCAGAGCTCATTAAAACTAGCAACAAAAGGGCTGGAAAGAATTCCATCATCTTTCCATTGCTGGCAGCATTTAATTCAATAATGGCATAAAGTCTGTAAATGTAATTAGAAGAATTTCACAGTTTGCTCATGTAAAATTCTTCCCTGCTCTATTGTTCAGCAAAAAGCAATTGGCTGAATGGAATAGACATTTTCTGGTGGGTGTCTGCTTTGGAAAACCACGTGGTGTGGAGAGAGTTAAGGTGGGTTAAGGTGTGGTGGAGGAAACACCTGTGCTCAGAGGCAGCTCTGTGGGAGTGGGTGGTGCTGGGAGAGAGTGTTGGGACAGCTGTACCCAGCACATCAGCTGGGCTTTGCTCCACAGCCAGCACCATGAGAGATCAAATAGACCTGCTGGCCACAGTCACAGTTCTGGGGGTCCTGGAGCAAGGTAAATGTCCTTTGTACAATGCCAGTATTCAGCTAATCATGTTAAACTTTGGGGGATGTGGTTCCTGTGTTTTTCTTGGAGCATCTGTGGAGTGAATGTCACTGTTTTCCAACATGGTAAAATGATAGAAATTTTTGGCTGTTAATGGCATATGTCATGCCTAAGGGTGGTCATTATTTAGCAGGGACTAAATTGATCCTCAAAGCCAGCAAGTAAACTTTTAGACTTAAAGCAATTTCAACGTGATGTTATTAAAGTAAACTAGTTTGTGATTGAATTTTAGCAGGTGAATTTGTAACTTGCAGTGGCTGGAGGTAGCCAAAATAAAGGCAGGTTAGTAAATGTGCTGGTGAGGAGGTCAGTGTGCAGACAGACCTGGTGTGGATGTAGGAAAGAGCCTCGTGCACAGGGGTGTTTCTCTGTGACAATATCCACGTTCATAATGCACAGAGCAGATGACAAGATGCACTGAGAGCAGAGTAAATTGGAAACTAATGCAAGTTCTGGTCAGAAATAGACAGCTCTTCAAAGGAACTCAGACTTCTAATTTAAATGGGTGCTTTGTGTTTAGACCATTTAGAAGGAGCAGCATTGTTAACAAGCTTTGTTTATTTGTGGGTTGTTCTGGCAAAGTTTCTCCCCCTTGAGCTTCAGGACAGTCTCTCCCCTGCCTGGGATGGGGACAGAGCCCCCATTTTATTAAAATCTTCACTGTTCCATAAGGAAAGGTTTGTGGGGTTTGTTATTGCTGTATTAATTCAACATACAGCTATCACACCTCTGCTTACAAATGGATGTGAATCCCTGAGCAGCATCATGTGCTTTTAGCTGTCAGGTGATAAATCTCCTAATATAAGCATTATTTAAAACAAAATATGCCACTTTAAAAATAGAGCTCAGGACGCTGAATTTTCAGTAATTTCCACTCAATTTACAGACATACAACTACAAACAGAAGAAACTTTTGTACTATGAATTTTTTTGTTATTAAACTAAGTGGAGGTGGAGCGAGTGTTTAGTGTGGAAAGACAATACATGAAGAAAACTTGAAACTGAGTTACAGAAATGCTGCTCAGCTCTTTTCCTTTAGGAAACCCTCAGTAGCAAATCCCTAGATAGCAGTTTTGTCTCTAATATTTTTGTTTAATGAGAATTTCAAGTACTTTTTAAAGGTTGCAGCATTAAGCATTTTACTTTGATGGCGTACAAGCCAGGTGTGAAGCCAGCAGATAAATAGCTGGCATTGGCACCCTCCTATCTGTCGGATCACCTGAAGTATCCTGGTTTATGATCTCTGTGTGGGAAGCCAAGGAGCAAATTGCAAAATACTGTGTGTTTCCTTTCCATCTAGTCCCATAAAATCTGTGTGCCCGTGTCACAGGTTCAGAGCACAGTGGCTTTCTCTGCATGTTTTGAAAGGACTTTCTGTAGGTGAGTTAGAGGTCTGGGATTCACTCTGAGCAGGGAGCACTGAAGCACAGACATGGGCTATCCCTACAGACACTCCTCCATCACGTCCTGGTGCAGGAGATGTAATTTAATGGCTGACCTTGGTACAGGGTTGGTTGATTTTTATGTTTCCTTTTGAATTTTCTGGGAGCCTGCAGTTTCTGGGTTCTTTCAAGTAACTTTCCTCCTTTTAATGTAGTCATTCTCAGTTTAGTGAAACCCTGAGTTTAGCACTCTGTAGATGTGTGCCCCAGCCTTGTGGTGAACATTGTACCACAGAGCAAAATTTTTCTACTCCAGATTTTTCCTCCAGTCCTTTGTTTTACAGCTTCAAAGGAAAGAAAACTTATGCAATGTCACTGTCAGGCCCCAGAGGGCTTGTTTGCCAGGTTCACTCAAATGTGGCAGATAGCAACTGTGATATGATTTGACAAGTTTGTGGACATAATCAAATAGAGAATGAAGAATATTTCCACTGAAGAGCAAAGTTCAGGGAGAGCTGAGCCCCTAAGCCACGTGGGAATCCACACAGGTGATTAACCTCAAGACATTTATCACAGGAAACAATGCTTTGAAAGGTTCTGCAGGGTAGGTTGAACTCTTTTTCTCGAAGAGTCTGTGCTGAGAAGGCTCATGCAGTGTGGGTTTTTTCAACACCTCATTCTGGGAAGTGCTTTTGTGGACTGGTTCTTCACCCTTACACCGGGTTTGGGGAACAGCCAGCTGTTCTCCAAAAGGCTTCTGATCCTCTTGGGTGGCTGTTTTGTATGTCACCCATCCTTAAGGGTCAAGGATCTGTGTAGGACTTGTCTGAATATTAGGCCCTGTGTAGAAGCAAGGTGTTAAGTGCAGAGCTGATGGAGAGGTTTGAAATGACTCTTACCTCACCCATCAGTCACAAGAATCCTACCTTGGGAAAGGTGCAGATGACAAAAAACAGGATGAAGAGCATTGCCCAGTGCAGTTGGGCTAATGCCACAAGCCAGATGTGCTCATGATGCTGTAACTTCAGCTCAGTCCATTTCTGGAGAGGAGAATGGGATGAAACCCTGAGAGCATCAGGGAGGAGGGGAGGTAACAGGGGATCGTGGTTTCATTTTGTACCCGGAGCTCTCCAGCAGCTGCTGAGTTCCAGTTGTGTTGCACCCCTCTGGATTCAGAGAGGGAACACCGGATCCTGCTGGACCTCTGCAGAAGGGTGACACCCTCACCCATGATCAACCTGCTTCAAATGAATCAAAGAGGGGGAAACAAGAATGTTCCCCCCACTTTGCTCTGTCAGCACCTCTTGTTTAGGGTTGGGTGTCTGTGGAAGGTACTAGAACATGCTTAATTGTTCTTATATGTGTTCTGAAAGGAATGACTGTATTTTTGTTAGTAAAACCTTGTGATACACAAGTCACATAGCATCAGATTATTTACAGTTCTGATTCCCTTCTACATATGTTCTAATGCTTTTCTGCAGGCGCATGTCTTGTCTTTAATCTTGGAACATCTGTCCCTACTTCCCCTTCTCTGTCCTGCTGTTCTGCTTTTATCTTTGTTACAATAGGATAGTCCCCAAGGCAGGCCTTGCACCCTGGCTCCTTGTGTCTCTGGGATGCTCTGGAAATGTTGCTTTGTGAGGACTTTGCTCACTCAAGTGTCTCAGTGACACCTCCACAGCCACCAAAGTAATTGTTTTTATAATTTAGTTTTCTCCTATATGAAAATAGGGGTTTTCAATAAAGGCAGCAGTGTAGTATTGCACCCAAATAAAACAGAGCATCAGCAATTTCCTGTGGGAGTAGGAGCTTTCAATAAATACTGAAACACTCCAAATCTTCATGTTAGCAAGTTTTCATTGTTTTGAAGTGACTTTCCATGTCCTTTACAAATGTACAAAGGACTGATGTAGCAGACACTGAGTCAGTGCCTTGGCTCAAAATTGGCACAGGCTGATAGCAGGCATGGGCACCTCCTCTGCTCCTTGACAGCCTTGGGGCTGTCCTGCAGGAGTGAAGAGCAAGAAATAATCACCCTCTTCCCCGTTTCCTTTTATTGCCATAATTAAGAGCATCTCTAATTGACTGGCCCAGTGCTTGACAGTGTGGATGCTGCTCTGTGACATGGGCTGTACTTTGCACCCACTGGGAATAGCAGAAAGTGTTGCACATCATTCCCACCAGGCTGGCTGAGGGTGCACAAGTACTCTAAACACAAAGTGCAAGATTAAGAGGTAATTCTGTGACTCAGTGTGGATGTGCTAAGGTTTTATTGTGTGTTTGATCTGCCAGGGAGCAGCACTGAGAGCTCTGCTGGGTGTGAGATGATGCAAAGTGTCATCCAGCACTGGCACTCAGCTGGGATAACCAAACCTGAATTTAAAGCATGAGAGTGGAATAAATGGCACATTTATTACAGGTCATGTGTGACAGCCCTGGACTGGGGACCTAGATCATATCAGCTCTTTCATTCTAACCACTTGTTTGATTCCAAGCCAGGTAGCACTTGGCTAAATAAGCACTGCTGTTCTGTCACCACTCCTGTGTTCTGTTTTCAGCCTATTTTGCCATGCAGGTGATCTACGCCCGTCGGAAGTACAAGGTTTCCCCTCCCGAAACCACAGGGCACCCTGAATTTGAGCGGACCTTCAGAGCTCAGTAAGATTTTGACTTTTTGTGGTGCCTTTGTCTAGATAAGACTTGAGTCAGCTGTCACTGTTTCACTGTTGGGAGAGACTGGTTTCCCTCCATCACCTTTCCACTTACTGCTACTGTTATTATTATTTTTCAGTGCTTTGTGTGCAAAGGTCTGCGTTTTGATTTGGAGCACTTCGGCTGGGGTGTTTCTGTCCATCCATGATAATTCTCCTTCTGGCATTGTGAGGCAGCCAAATTACAAATTAGTGGCCGTATGGAGGAGGTGCAGAGCATTCACAATTAGAATCATTAAATTTAATATTACCATCGGCTCCAAATGGTGAGAGCAGCCAAAGCTTTATTAATAACCTGATATTTTCTTGTAATTTTTTGCTGTTGAATTGAAGCAAAGGGCCTTGCTGGCAGAACCAGCTACAAGGGCATTTTAATTTTTTCCCTTTCAGAAGCCATTGTACTGTGAGAATCAGCACTCGTGGGCCCCTGCTGAGGGCTGTTTCTTTTTGCTCTGTTCCTATGGAGAGAGCAATGCTGGAGCTAAACTGGAAACGTTCACAGATCCCTTCAGCTTCCAGCAAGCACCAGATTCCATCTTTCATCTCAGTCGTTCTGTTTTGTGAGCCATTGAAAGGAATTGGCTGGAGCTGGTGTGAAGGGTAATTCCAGCCCGGCACTAAATCCCGAACAAAGCAGCTGCATTCCCTGCCAGCACACAGGAAACGTTTGTGGAGTGACAAAAACACCAGCTCCAGTCCTTCTGTGGGACCATGGAGGGCCAGCCTGCCTGGAGACATCAGCCTCTGTGAGCTGGGGAGCTGCTGATGTGGCTTTTAATTAAATACTTAACTATGAAATGTCTGTTAACCAAGTCATCCATGGGCTGTGGCAGGGAAGGTGACCTCGGGGAGTTTGGACTTGAAATGTTGCTTCTTTGTGGGTTTGTCTTCTCTTTTCCCTGTGGAGGAGTATACAAATGAATAATTTGATATATTGAAAAATATATATATGGGAAAAAGTGGTACTGATGCATTACTCACTTGAAACCTGGCAGCCTCCCCTCACTGAGGCTCAAACTGCATTTACAGAACAAGGTTCTTCAGACTTTTTCCAGCTCCCAGTCTGGCTCCATTCTCCAAAGGTTTGTATATTTTTGGCCAACATTAAGATTAAATTGCCTAGGGAATGGTAAAATATGGGAGAAGCAAAACCAATGTCTTTAATAGCACAGCTCCTACTCTTGCAGAAAATCTGTATGTTTGTCACTAAAGGAAAAAGAAGGAAAACCTGGCTGTAGATCTGATCACCTCCTGCTGAATTTTATCTGAGAGAAGGCTCCTTCTTGGTGTGTGACTTGTGTGACCCAAATTTGGGCTGTGTGCACCCAAGGGGAAGAGAAAGCTCCTTAAATACCAACAAGGCTCTCCCCAGCAGCTCTCTGGGGTGGTGCTCTTTGAGGGTCCAGCAGGGACAAATCTCCATCTCAGCCACAGCTTGTCTTTCCAGGGCCATGTGAATGCAGGAGAGGTGAATGCTGTGTAGTGTTTGGCTGCTTTTTTCTCTATAATACAGATATTGGGTGTGCTTGATCACAGAAAAGGCTCCTTTCCCACAGCACAGTGATGGTTCTCATCAGCTCTTTTAGTTTTCTCCAATGTGAGTTTCCAATTCCCTTCTCCAGCCTTGGTTAGCCAGGCTCTGATGTTCAAGGAGGCAGTTTTAACTCTCATCTCTGCTTCTCACCAGGGCAAACTGCTCAGAGTACTTCCCAATCTTCATTTCCCTCCTCTGGGTTGCTGGAATCTTCTTCCATCAAGGTAAGAGGGATGTGTGGGGGAACTCCAACCCAAACCATGTGAACAAACCAAAAAACCTCAGCCCCAATTTAAATCCCATTGTGACTCAGGCATTCTCTCTGTGCCTGTGAGGCTCTTGTTCATGGAAAGCAAATTTCCCTTTTAGCTGGACTGGCTGAGAAGTGCCTCAGCTCCAGCTGGGAGCAGCTGAGCCCACTCCTGCCTGGAGGAGGAAGCTCTGGCAGCCCTTGCTCCTCTGCTGGAGCCTGGCTGTCCCCTCGTGCTGCTTCTCCTGGACAAGGTCAGGCTGTCCCAGGGTGCCAGGGTGGCAGCAGCTGAGGCAGAGCTATGTCACAACAAGAAACCATAACCCAAACATTTACTCATCCACTGTCCATCCCAACCAAGTGAACGCAGGGGATTTGGTTGCTGGAACCATTTAGTTGTGAGGAGAAACCACATAAGGAAGCATTGCCAATCCAAGTCCCAGGGCAACTCTGTGGGGCAGAGGAGTTCATCCCTCACAAAAAGGGAAGGAAGAAAACTCATTTAAACTCTCACAGTGGTTTAAAGCCAAACCACTCTGTGTTTGGTTTTCTGGTGATGCCCCATCTGCTGAGGAGCTGTGCTGGAATGCAGTGTCAGGGACCCTGAGCCCAGCAGAGCTCTGTCCCTGTCCCAGGTGTGACTGCAGTGTGTGGGCTGCTCTACCTCTACACCCGCCTCAGGTACTTCCAGGGCTACGCCGGGGCTGCACGGGGACGGTAAGGACCTGACAGGACCACGGGAACCCCAAACCCGCCCAGGGAGCCTGGGGGCAGGAGCTGGCCCTGGAACGGGCTCCCTCCCTGTGGCTGGGACTGCGGGCAGATTGTCACCTCCTCCCCCTCCTGCCCCAAGTGCTTGTGGCTGTGTCACCCCTCACTGTCCCAAAGCGGGGTGGAGACAGCCCTGCCACAGTGCCCTGGCCAGGCTGGCAGTGCCTGATGGTGTTTTCTCCCCCCCAGGTTGGGACCACTGTATGCCAGTGCCTGGCTGCTCTGGGCGCTGCTGGGGCTGGCACTGGCTGGGCTCCTGGCACACTTCCTGAGGCCCAGCTCCTCCACGTGGATGGCAGCACTGGTGTGGCCTCTCCAGCTCTGTGGGGCCTGGTGAGAGGGGCCACAGCTCCCCCAAACCCACTGTTTGCCCCCAGCACAGGGGAACCACTCATGTGGCACCATCTGAGGGAGAGTATTTCCCTGGCTCTGCAATCCCTGCAGAAGGGAGATGGAAGCTGGCACTCCTCTGCTCTTCAGAGATAATTTCCCTTCTAGAAAGCAAACGCTTTCCAGCCCCTGCCCCTGCTGAGGAGCTTCACTGCTGGGCTTTGTAGCACTGTCTGCTCTAAAATGCCTCTGGCTCTGCCTCATGGAGCACAGATTGACCCACATGCTGTCGTCTCTCCTCCTTACTGCTGTAATGATCTGTGCTGAAGAATCACACCATGGATATAAAAAATAAATTCTTCTTCTCACTAGAAATCACCTGTGATTGTCAAAGGCACTCAGAGACTGGTGTGAGAACATCTGAGTTGGGGACTGGGTTTCATAGGAAAAGCTGCTGTGATTAAATGAAAATTATGGGTAAGCTTGCCTAAAACCACATCCAAATATTGGGAAAAAAGCCTGACCCTAGCCCAGTACTAAAGTCTGTTTGGCATTGATTAAATGACCTTTACTTTACCCCAGCTTCACTTATCACCAACTCTGCAAAAGGACTTTGCCCTCCCTAGACTCCACCCTCCACTGTGAACTTGGGGTTCACAGGTGCCTAAAGCAGCCCAGCTGCAAGTGACTCTCACTACTGCACCAAAGGTTTAAATTTAGCTTTTATTACAGTGCACATTGTTTTATATATTTATATAGAGAGATGTACTTGAAAAATCAAATGTATCCAATAATAAAAAATACAGAACATTAAAGTAGTATAATGCATTCCAGTGTATAGCTGAAAGGACATTGGGATTTACACTAATCCCTACTATTTCTGAACTGGGCTACCTCTGCTTTTTTTTTTCCGTCCCCAAAAAACCCACATCAATCAATAACTGAATTAGTTATTTAAAAGACAGTTTCTGCACTCAATCTCAAGGCATGAAGACACTGGAGACTTCACTGTGAGTTAAGGGGCTGTGTTCAATGCTGGCAGGCACAGTGTGGCATATTTTATTTTTTTGTTTTCCCTGCCATAATCATAGCTCCAACCCCTTTGGATTCGTTCCTCCTCTGCTAAAGGAGGGTCAGTCTTTGCCCTCACTTAATCCTCAGCCGTGGCCAGGACTGCTGCCTGGGAGAGGGCAAGGCAGACCTCGGGCCCCGCCGCCTCCATCCCAGCACGCCAGTGGGGTCAGCTGGCAGGACTTGGTGTGACCTGCTCTGTCCCCAAACCCAGCCAAAGGTTTGAGCCCTGTCTGGGGCTGAAGGTGCTCTTTGTCCCCACGCTGGCTAAAGCTCATCCCGACCCCACACTGTCCCGTGTCCGTGTGTCCGAGCAGCAGCAGCACCCCGAGGGAGTGGAGCAAAGCCCCCCCTCAGCACAGGGGGTTGGGTTCTGCTTTCTGCTCCTCTTCAGGAGGAGTCAATGCCCGTCCTGGCCCCGCTGGGGATGCACAGCAGCAGCAGCTCTGCTGGCCCTGCGCTGTCCTGGTCCGG